ATATTTTCGACTAAATTAATTTGAATTAAACATTTGATTCCAATCTTTAGTAACAATTTGCATAAAGTAGACTGAAACACAAATAAATATATTAATATGTCGTTTTTAGCTGATGTCGGTGGATTTTTATATGATCCCACGCCTGAACTCCTAGTTCGATGATATCAAGCAGGAGCTTTTCAACCATTCTTTCGTGCACATGCTCATATAGATACAAAAAGACGCGAACCATGGTTATTGGTGATCCATATACTGGTTATATCCGTGATATAATCAGAGAAAGATATTCTTTATTACCTTTATGGTATACTCTATTCTACGAAGCTAGTACCACTGGAATGCCAATAATAAGGTACATAATGTCTAATTAACTAATTAATAACAAATTTCAATCTTCCGTTAATTTTTTATTTGGTATCAGACCTATGTTTGTAGTCTATCCTGATGACGAAAAAGTTTATGAAATGGACGATCAATTCTTTGTTGGAAATTCGTTGCTTGTTAAACCTATTGTAGAGGAAGGTCAAACATCTACTGAAGTTTATTTTTCAGGAAATGAGGTGAGATATATTTTCAGAAATTTAATGAGTTAAAATTTAATTACTAATTTAATGTTATATGATTTTTCAGATATTTTACGTTTGAAAAAATTTGTGGATCTAGTAAAGTTCGAATTAATGCCCCATTGAACAAGATTCCTGTCTTTTTACGCGGTGGGTCCATTATTACAAAGCGGCAGAAAATTCGTGGTTCTTCATCAGATATGCATTTAGATCCTTTTACATTGGTGATTGCATTAAACGAAAATGTAAGCTATACATTTTTTATGCTTTCATCTATCTTAATGTTAACTTTTTTTTTCTTTTTAAAGAGCGAAACAATTGGCTCGATGATGGTGAAACATATGATTATGAGAAAGGGTATTTTGTTTATCGTCAATTTACATTCTCTGCCGGAAAATTGGCATCTAAATCATTGTCATCGTTAGATAATGATAAAAATTTATATGCCCAGTCAATCAGTTCTGTTCATGTTGAACAAATAATAGTATTAGGACTGGATGTGAAACCTAGCAATCTGCTGCTGCATTTGTTTATTTTCAGAATCATCCAGGGCGACCACCAAAAACGCCGTAGATCATCGTGGCGCAGCTGCAGTATCTATGTCGATCGTGGCGCAGCAGCAGTATATATATCAAATACGATCGCC